GTGTGTGTGTGTGTGTGTAAAAAAAGAAACTGAATGGAAAATGGGAGAGGTCTTCGTTTAAATGCAATATATTGTGTGTTTTCACATTGCAGACTTGTGTGTGTGTGTTGTGAGTGTGTGCATGTGCGATGAGGAATGTCAGTCAAGGGGAAATCTGCAGAGGTGTCAGACATTACAGAAGACCACCAAGCAATGTGAGTAGAAATGTGTCTGATCTTACACAGAATGCAAAAAGGAAAAACTCAGTGTATTCAATGCTGCAGTATTTTAAAACTGCATGAGGCTGCAGTTTTATCATATTTGTGTGAGCGTCTCAGTCCTGTTGATTGATGTCACACAGTAAACAGTCATCTTTTACCCACTTTAAACTTAAACATGCGTCTAAGCGCCAATGAGGGGGTTCCTGTTTCCTGGGTGAAATCCTCTGCTACACAGGGAACAATGCTTTTACCAACAATGATGAAGTAGCTTGTTAATTATAGGAAGCTGGAGGAAATACAAGAGGCTGTGGTGGAGTTTGATCATTTCTGTTATTATAATATGTTGGTCCAGTATAAACAATGAGCATTAAAGACCAGTGGAAAGGCTGCTTATCACCAAAAGATGTCAGCAAATTCAGGAAAACAACACTGGTGCTGTGTTCTCAAAAATAACTTTGCTTCTTGGAGGAAAAACTTGATGTGCATACATTTATCATAAAAAAAGTGGAAATTGTGTTTTGTGTGGATAACACTTCCCAAACCTTCTCAGTGTCAGACAGAGTATAATTGGCTGTCAGAGTTTTTACCTTTTATCCATACTGTGATGCCACTAAGTCTCCAGGAGCTGCACCATCCAGGATTTACAAATGTGAAATCTGTCACACTTCACCTCCACACACAGACACAGCTGATCTGAAATGCACACATTTACCTAACCCGTGGCTTTTATGCAGGATGTCTGTGCAGAGTTTTGTGTGCAGAACCAATGTATTTACTTGTACAAAACTGTTCTGATGTGTGACATCATACACATCTTACCACAATCTTACCTGATCGCTAGGGAAGAAGAGAACCTCCAATAAACAGATTTTTGTTGCAATGCAGTGACTTTAAAAACTTTGTGAAGCTTCACAGTTGGACCATATGGCACTGAGCTAAATGACCCGCGACTCAACTCTGCCATGTGACTGATGCATTTATGCAACAGAGCCACCGTTGGAAAGGACAGGTACACAGGAGGGAGGACAGATAAAGAGTTAGATGAATCAAGGGACAGACAAAGAGGAAAACAGAGAGAAGACACAAATAGAAATAAATAGATGACAAAAACAACTAAAGGGAAACATGCAGGAAGGAGAATGCCTTGTTCATCTACTGGACTGAGCTGTCCGTTGGCCCTTGAGTCCCTTGAGAGCAGCTGTTAATCCACCAGGTCTGCAGCCTCACAGAATAAAAAGTTAAATACATTCATGTGCTGAATGATCAAGCAAATGATCTTTCATATATCCTAAAGTTTCAGCCATGCACACTCCCACCTGGAGCATAACTAACTGATTGATTTCAATGTTGTCATTTTGTCAACTGAAGAGCTGTTTGTCTTTCAGTGTTTATAAAGTTGTCTGGATAACACAGTTGCCACTTTCATTGGGACTCAAAGTTTCTTCCAACTGATTTGACCATGTGAATACAGGTGAGTAAAAACCACGATCTTTGATTTAATCTATTAAGACGCTTTGTCTTCAGCCTTGCTAGCAGTTCTGTAGGCTGTATTTGGGCAAAGCGTTAATTTTTAGCATGCTCATGTTAAGCAGCTGTAAGGTTTTCCCAGTGTTTAACATCTTAGTTTACTTCGGCAACACGAGACAACATTTGCTAGATAATATTATTCAGTAAAGCAAATACCAGTAAATAAATCAGTCTTATAGCTGTTTAAAAGATTTAGTCCAAAATATAAGTGGTTGAAATACATTAT